GGAATTTATGCTCACTTGCATCAAGAAACTGGGAAAACGAATAATGTGATTAATCTCAAAGGGTCAAAATGAAAGCCATCAGGACAGCAGACTAGTCTGTAATATTTGGCTTCTGAAATACAGCCTAAATGAAACATGGATGAAATTTAAATTAATTCTGAAAAACAGAGCCTTTTGGGAGTGGGGGACTCAAAAAAGAGAAATTTAGGCATCTAAAAATGTTATAGTTTGACAAGGCCTTTAAAAATGATTTTGCAAACAATCTAGGTCTAATCATTATCTCTAAGTGAAAACATCCCCTTAAAAATACCAGTAAAACAAGCAAGAAAAAAAAAAAGAGGACGAAAAGTTTTCAGACTAAGGATTCACTTCACATGAGGAATATCCTCAAGACAGCAAATCCATAGCAAGCCATTTTCACCCTCAGAGCTTGCGTAGAATTATGAAGACGATTAAAGCATTTAGCTTGGCCAAAATATTTAACCTCCCCCCAAAATTACTCCTCTTCCCCAATACAATCTGGCCCAATACAATTTTAAAACTAAGTCAGCAGACCTTGCATTTTTTTAGTCAGTCAGTCTTTGGCATTAATATTTTGGCATTAAAATCAGCGCAATACATTCAAAAGTGACTATCCACATCATATGGCAAGACCAGACCTTATCTTGCTTTTCCCTTCCTAACCATATTTGGTTAATACTGGCTGCCCTGGGAACTGTCAGTCACCTGTCTCTGTGGGCTCAGCTCCCCACCCCCACTGCAGGAGTGTAATTCAAATAAAACGAGCCATTTGCTTAATGAAATGCCCAAACTGCCTACTTCTGCTCTGTACCCAGCCTTGCCCTACATACCTGGCATAGATCTCCAATGCTGAGAAGGTCACCAGCTTGGTTCACAGTCTCCCCTCTGCTAAGCCAGTCTCAATTGCTCCCAACTCTTGTACTACACTGCTGCTCTCTGGTACTTTTTATATCTCAATGAAGTGGTTGCGAGCCAAGGACGACAGGATAGTGAACCAGTGCATAGGGTAGGGTCTGATTTCAAGAGAAAAGACCCTTTTTAAAAGAAGATACTTATGAAGCCTCCTCCTACCAGAGAACCAAAATATAGTTCAAACACCTGCAGTCATAGAAAAGAGCTGAAATATGGGATATTTAAACAAAAGAAATGCAGAGTCAGGATGATTGACCCCCCCTGCTTCAATACACAGACCCCCTTCCTTTTCTATTTAAGGAAGCACAAGACATTTGAGCCTTAGGAACAAATGGTTTGATTCCTGTGTTGGAACAAGAGACCTGACAGCAGCTGAAACAGCCTGACTCTCCCAGCACCTTCCAGAACTCACTTTAGAAAGAAATCCCATTCACATGTCCAGTGCTTCCTTCTCTTTGCAGTTTTGCATCACACCTAAAATGGTAGGAGCCCAGAAACATCTGTGTGCACATCTAGCTTTGTAGATTCTCTAGATATAGAACTGTACTCACTTTAGGTTCCCTATTATAAAGGTTCCCAATCACCAGGCTGCAGCCTGGTACTGGGCTGTGAAGGGTTGGCTGCTGGGTTGTGGCACAAGACCCCTGCTTGGACCCCTGTCTGTCCTCCCGGGCAAGCGGCTTCTGCCGCCGACAGTCACATGTGGGGTTAAAGCTGGGTGGCGGGGCAGCCCCAGGAGGGAGGCAGCTGGCTCTGTGTGCCCAGCTCCACTCCTGTCCCGGTCTGCAGTACAAAAAAGGTTGGGAACCACTGCCCTATTATATACAAGCTGTCTGGGAGCCCTGGCAGGGTGTTATGCTTTCAGTGACTTGTCCCATTCGGGTGAGTCACAAAACTGGTGGCACGGTACCTGGGACAATAGGCTGTGTGAGGCTTTCCTATTTAAATGGAATGTTTGCAACACTAGTATAATGTTTTATATATGGTGAAGACTTAAACTCTCCTAGAAACAGGGCTACAGTGGCCATTTTAAAATTAAGAATGAAAAAGACACACCAAACAGAAAAATGTCTATGTGTCCAAGACTATGATAACATACCCAACAGGGATTCCCTCATCAGAAGCACTATAGGCAGCCTGCTCAGAGGAGGAAGAGTAGAGCACTGATTTGAAAGATAAAAGGTATAGGCATATGATAGGTATGAGGGTGAAAACATTTTGGGTAAAACAGAAACAAAGGATTTTGGCTGTTCAATGAGAAATCTAACCAAAAACTCAGAACTGTCAAAGCAGCCCCAAGGAGGGTAAAACCTGGGATGTCTTAGGCTTTATATAGGTTTTTCTACTACACTTATCACCATGGCATCTACACACCTTCCAGGATTGGATCAGGTAACAAAATTAACATCTCACGTATATTTGTTCCTTCCTTCTCACTTCAGAGTCTGGTATATGCAATGGAGTGCTTTGCACCTATACATTTGTTGCTTTATTTAGAAAAAGCAAGAATGAAGCACACCTTTACTTAAGGGTGGAAAGTCAGGAGGCTTGTACTGGGAGTTAGCTCCTGTGGGAGTTCATTCTCCAGCCTCAGACAAGCCCTCACGTGGCCAGGTAGTGGAACTTTTGGAAGGGAAGACCAGATTTCAGTTTACATCCTGAGAAGCTAGTTTGAAGGGTTGAAATTAAGAGCCAGCCTAGTATATTTGTTGTGGCTCTTCTTACATTGCAAGAACCTGTTGCCAGCCTTGGCTATTTTCAAGGGGCCTAGGCTAAGCTGCAGAAATGCTGCTAAGCAGAAGGCCCAAAGCCTGTTTCTGAGGGACTGTAGTGTGAACTTTTGCAAATGTGACAATTAACTTGGTCAGCAAGTAAAGGAAACCATCAAATACAATTAAACAAAGCACAAGGCCTAAAAGAATATAAGATAAGACCATACATTAAATAATCCATATATGCTATATCATAGCTTTACCTTAAAATAGTAGTAGTAGTTGATGGCTAGGAAATGGTATTTAGAGGTTTCCTTTTTGGAACTGTAGGTAAAGGAGATATTGCCTTAGAACAGGGGTTTCCAACCTTTAAAAAAAAGTGTACTCTTGGTGGGGGGCTGGCAAGTGGCCGGATGCGGAGCGGGGTGGCGAGCAGCCAGATGTGGAGTGGGGTCTAGACGAACCAAATTAGGAGGACATCAGAAAGAACCAAATTAGGACATGTGCATGTGATGGGTTTGTGAAACAAAGGAATATGCAGACAAGACAAAACGTGGACGGTATGATGACCAGGGATCCTGGTTTTCTCTGATTAAAAGTTGCAAATTCTCTGATTAAAAACTCAAATTCTGTGATAAAAATTAAAGGCCCCCCCTCAGCCCCTCCCAGGGCTGCTGGCCCCGCACTCCGCCCCCCGTCTCAATAGCCCTCCTGATGCCCCTCGCAACAGCCCGCCAGACCCACAGGCATGTAGACACAGATGCTGACACCTACCCCAGCAGGTAAGTGTGTGTGGGGGGAAGGGACAGGGCAGGGCAGGGGAAAGGGAAGGTGCTGGGGGAATAGATGAAGAAGGGGGGGAGTGTGCCCCTGTGCCCACTCCCAGGAGCAAGGCTGGGGGGTGAGGGCAGGGTGCCACTCTGCGGGCTACACACATGCCTGCTGGCCTGACAGGAAGTTTGCACACGGAGGCCACTACCGCAACTCTGCCACTGCACCCTGCGCTACCATCCCACGGCCACCTAACTGGCTTTGTGGGCAAGTGGCACAGGGCGCGGCAGTAGCAGTGCAGTGGCAACCACTGTGTGTGGGCCACATATGTGCTGCCCAGCTGGGGGGTGAAAGGGGGGGCTTGCATGCAGCGGCACGCCTAACTGGCTCTGCGGTGGTGTGGGGTGGTGGCAGCTGCATGCAGGGTGGGGGGGCTTTGTGGGCAAGCGCTGCTACTGTGGAGCCATGCCCCTTCACCCCTGGATCCTAGAGGTGTGGGGCTTAGGGGCTGTGGGCAGGGCTGGGGAAGATGACTGGGGGCTGAGGGAACGGGGTGCTGCAGGCCCCAGCCGGCACATTGCGGCGGCGCAGGGTGCTGGTGGCTGCGTGCTGCATGGCCACCACCATGCTGTTGCTGCCACCCGGCGGCTGGCTGCACAGCTCCAGGCACAGCTCCGCGGCGGCAGTGGGAGGGTTTGGAGGCAGGGGGCCGCCCCACCACCCCCGGGCCCCCAGTAAGATGG